GACTAGCATAAATAAAAAGCATATTCTTACAATTCCCAGGCAGCCCGCAACAAAACAAGTCTTTCCATTTTGCTGAGGATAAAATCCGCTATGGAGATAAAAGAAGTGCCAGATGACCTTTTAGTCATCATCGTGCCGCCTTGGAAAATATGTGTCAGAATTTCCGGAACGATCGAGCAGAACCCGTAAACCAAGATTCAAATTCTGCTACTACGCCCCTATCGCTACAAAAAGGCAAGTGTTCATCATTCAGTAAACCAACCAACCAATCAATCAATTAATCATTTAATATACTGAAGAGTGGTCTGCAGAACGGACGTTTTTTAGGCGAGCGAAGGCAAGTGCAAGACGGGCGTGGAGCGCGAAACACGCGACAGGTGGAAGGCTCGAAAGAAAGATATTCCGCGCCTTCTCCTGTCGCGCGCGTCTTGCGCTCCACGCCTACCTCGTGCTAGCCTACGTGCATACCTCTCCTATTTTCTTTGTACTCGCAAGTAAAAAAGGAAAAAGGAGATGTCTGTACGCAGGCCAACCTTGCGTTTGTCTTCGCTTAGCCTCCCATACAGGCGTTTTTAGGGAGCTGGTATTTCGTACCTCCCCGCAGCTGTATTTTGATACATTGATACAAGTTAGTTGCTGCTTTTAGACTTACAAAAATTCATAAAATAACAGCACAATTTATAAATTAAACGAACCTAACATAAAATACAGCTGTGGGGAGAAACGAAATACGAGCTCCCCTAAAACGCCTGCGAGGGAGACTATCTTCGCTTGTCCGAAAAACGCTGGAAAAATAAACATCCGTTTCCGCGCGAAACTTCCCCAGCGGCGAAGAGCGAGGAGAAACGGATGTCTTCGCAGGCTATGAAGAAACAGTAAAGTTTGGGATTTATTAACTGATTGAGTAAAGACTGAAAAGGTAACCTTTGAAGAGCAAGCAGAGTCCTGTAGAACAGGTATTACTTACAGTGTATATATATGACTTTGGCTTCGCGTTTGAATCTTCGGTTACTTCAGGCCGAAGTCTTCAATGAACGCAAATCTTCCACAAGTCCTATGAATGTATGTCTGCATGATGGGAGGTTAAACATGCCGCGCCACGAGTGTCGTGTCAAGGGCATATTGAAAACAAAATTATAACCAACTGAGCTAGCATACAAGAATCTTATAATACAATGTTTTAAAACTCACTCTTTGTTTTACCTTATTTCAGGCAAAAATAAGAATCGTGTTCATCGACGCAATTGTTCTAGCACAGTTTGCTATACAGTGGAAGTGTGTTACCTTCGATGCGTAGGTGAAGAAGGCTGCTATGTGTGTAGAAACGAGACAGATTGTGACACCATTGACTGCTAAATGAATTAATTTTCTCTTACGAAAACCGTCTTGCTAAGTATCCTAAACCAGACTGTATTCATAAACTGGTCACAGAATTAGTGCTGGTGGTTGGGAGGGGCGCGAATAAAAAATGTGAGGCTGTACGAAGTCTTATAAAGTGAGGTGTTGCAGTTGCTATACTTAGAAGTTCTTCTTTTCAATGAATTTTGACATTGTCATACGCTTAAGTGCCTTTCAGCTGAACAGAGAAAAAATCTTGCCCAAATTCTGGCTATTGTGTCCCTCAGAACTAAGCTAGAATTGCTAAAAATATTTGAGCAGTATCATATAAGCGAAATAGGAAAAGCACGTTTTTTGTTGCAATTAAGAGAAAAAATAATAGCAGTCATTGAATAAAGACTAAAATACACGAATAAATTGTTTGCAGTGTTTCCTGCTTGCTGTTACTTTTGGGGATACAGTCACTTTGGTAGTGTACTATAAAAGATGCTTTCCATAGATCACAATAAAAAAACTGATAAAAGTCTTTTTGCTGGTTTTGTCAGGAAAATGTAATAATATATAAAAAAAAAAAAACCAGTAAATTAAACAATTTAACTAAAAACTAATTTT